ATTACATGGATTTTATCTGTTTACATATTAATCATGCTAATTTTTTAAAAAATTAAAGATTACAGAAATATTTTCACTCACTCATTCAACACCATTTATTGCATGCCTGCTATGTGCCAATCACTATTACCTATAGTTCTCCAAAATGGGATGGTTTGATCCATAGGAAAAAGATGTGAATTAAATTTCTTTCAGATAAAAAACCTATCATCTACTTCCTTTTTGATTAATCATTGACTTATTGAGTACTTAATAAAATTTTACACAAATGAATAGAAAATATCTCCCATTACACTCTAATATTTTCCTTTTTAGGAAAGATTATTGAAATATTAATAAAGGTTTTATTTTTAAACTGTTAGGACTACTTCAAATAGATATCAAGAAGCAAAAAATACCTTTTGAATAGAAACACACATCCATAATACAATATTTCTATTAGAATTATTTGATTTTAGAATTCTACCTCTAGAGGCATCAGTCCCTATCTTGGCTATTTCCAATAATCAAAATTATTTATGTCTTTCATTCACATACAATTGTCTCCAGTCTACTTAGTGAACAGTTCAACCTTTCATCAATGCAAAAAGACATTTCAATAAAGTTCAATGAACTAAACAAGCAGTTTAACAACAATAAAATTTTTAGGAGGAAACTGCAACAACTTTGTTTGGCATGCATGTTTCATTGTGTGTCTTACAGCTTGTTTTTGGCCTGTGATCACTTAAAAACAACCATCAAGCAAATTTAAATAGTTACCTGTAATTGCAAGATATCGCCTTTTGCGTTTTATGGTATATAAAATCTGGCATAAGAGAAAAGAAACACAAGACCGACAAAAAGTTTCATTCACTTACCCTCCTCATAACCACAGCCAGGGTAAACTTCACACAGCCTCAGGCCATTGAATTTTATCCTGAAGTTTCCATCTACCACACAATCAGATAAACTCCAGCTTGTGTGAGCAGCTAATGAGAACAGTGCCGTAAAAAGAATTGCCAAACAAATTTCCATGTGCTCAACCTAAACGGGAGAAATTACAACACGAGCTGAGTAAAAGGTTTCTAGCTGTTTTTAAACCAGAGCGGGTGATCTCACTTTTAGCAGGAACTTGTGACTAAGATTGCCTGGTCGGGAAATGATTAACACCCCTGTTGTCATCATCTGCTTGAACTCTCCAGTGGCAGGAAATCAGCCAGGGAGCCTTATCAATCCTGGGCAAGTGTTTTATGAATGCATTGTCCGGGGCCGAGGCTCAGCATGCTGAATTCAACTTCAGTGTGCAGCTATTTCAAATAAAAGGGTATTCAGAACCTCTGCCAAGGTCATTAGTGGTTATTTCTATTGAGTTATTGTTAATAAAAGGTTTTATTTTTACTTGTCCTTTCTGTGCCCCACATTAAAAAATAGGTGATCTCTTCTTAGACCCTTTTTCTTAAAATTCTAAAGTTTTACAAGTAACATTATTAGTATAAAGTTTTATAAGTAACATTATCCCTCAACCTTGTTCACTTCCCAACCATGCTCAAATCTAAAAACTCCATTGTCTTTCTGACCTGCCAGTTCTCATTCTTTTGGAAACCAGGGGACATGGAAAAATAGAAAAGAACTAACAAACAGGAGGCACTAGAAAGTCACCAAATGATGATTATTTTTTCTTTAAATGATTGTTATGAATAACAACTATTAAATACAACTATTACATGATCATTTCTTCATAAATGCTTCTAGATCGAGTGAGAGAAAAAAGACTCACCCAGATATGAGAAAGAAATGGAAGAGATTTATTTAGATAAACTTCTGTACATTGTCTTCTAAGCAGGAACCTGCAATGAAGCTTCTCTTAAGGGGACTTCCACTCCACTAACAGGGCTTATAGTAGGTTGTGCTTTTCCTGTCAGATGGATGAAGAAAATGAAAAAGGGGGCTCAAATACAGTACTGACTAGTCTAAGAGCTAGTTGTCAGTTGTGTTTATTATGCTATAAACTTTGCTTTCCTTGAAGCCCTTACATTGCTGATTTAGAAGTAGATTGATGACTCAGAATTCTTATCATTCTTCTGAGAATTGTCAGATTCCTCTTAGGAACTCAGATACAATCGCCCCTCCCTCATGACTAGTTTGAACTGTTCCAGTGCCATAAAACAATTCTAAATAAATTCAACTAGTTTCTCTCTCTGCAACCATATATTATTTTAGTCTCTGAAATTTAACTAGCACTCCAAGTTGCAAATATTCTTTGCTGGCCTAGCAATGGTTAGCCCGTTAGTGTCTTAACTACCATACTCTCAGTTCCTTTGTTGGGCTACAACAAATAACTAGAAAGTTGGAGAAGATTGCCATACATACACACATTTTAAGTCACCTTTATTATCTATCATTATAACAAGGCCTGGCATTTAGTAAGCACTGACTAATCATCTGCCATTATTATTTAGTTGTCCAAAAGGATGGTGTCCACAAACATATGATAAAAGAAAGTAAATAAATAAATAGAAGAATAAATAAATAAATAAACAGTCTTCCAGAACTAAGATTCTTAACCTAGATTTTAAGGGAGCCAGGGATTCTCAGATCACCCTAAATTTATGTAAAATTTACAACTGTGTACTTTTTTGGGGAAATGCCATATGGTTCATCAGATTCTTAACTGAATGGGTCAAAGACACACATAGAGAAAAAGGCAAGAACTACCACTCCAAAGAAGTATTAAAAATTTGTACTCTCTGGGATGGGCTTGTGAAATAGACTTTAGAAGTGGATTGAAACTTTCAAGGAAGGATTTTATTATCTTCAAATATGGTAAAGCCCAATTTTAACCATTTTGAGTAACATACAATGTCACTACCTCTGTTTTTTTGTAAATTATAAATATTATAAACACAATGGAATACAACACTGTGGTGAAAAAAAATAAAAAAGAGTTCTTACCATTTGCAACAACATGGATGGAGAGCATTATGCTAAGTGAAATAAGCTAGACAAAGATAAATATCATATGATCTCACTCATTTATGGAATATAATGAACAACATAAATTGATGAACAAAAGCAGATCCAGAGACAGAGAAACATCGATTAGAACGTCAAACCTCAGGGAAGGTAAGGGACAGTGGGGGTAAGGGAGAGAGATCAACCAAAGGATTTATATGCATGCATCTGAGCCTAACCAATGGACACAGATAACAGGGGGAGAAGGGAATGAATGGGGGAGGGGATTTGGGTGGTAATGGGGAGTAAGGACACATATGTAATATCTTAATCAATAAATAAAATAAAAAATAAATAAATATTATGAGGTTCTATCATTATAGTAATAAACAGACATGACAGACAGACAATCATGGTGCATGTTCAACTGAATCAGAGTTGGTAAATGGTGTTGTTCTGCATTTGGATTCTTAGGTTTCCCAAGTGAGAAATCAAGAGGAAACCCCAGTGAAATTTCTAGACAGATTTGATTAAGTTTGTGCTCAAGCACCAGGGAGACAACACGGGCATGTGCCTTGACCTGGAATTGAACAGGTGGTCTGGTATGGGTCGATGCTCAACCACTGAGCCACACTGGCCAGATTTCTAATAGCTTCTTAAGAAGGGAGACATAGAGGAAGAATTTTGGCATCTTGAACACCTGAATCTCACGCACCACGTCTGTGGTATAAAAATAAACTTTAAAAAAACTGTACAACAATGAAGTCAGCCAACCAGAAAATATTTTTTTTAATCCTCTAGAATGGATGGGGTTATGGTAAATAATATGTTAACAAGCATTTAATACATTTACGTGTAGAACTAAAAGTAAATATATATGGGAATTATGATTACAGAGGGAATATGATTTTTTAAATAACAAAGTAAAAATAATATAAGTAGCAAAATAAAGGAGACAGGAAATAGAAAAAAGTATAATGTTAATTTCCTTGTCTTTTAATACAGGAAATCATTTGAGATGATCTACAATGAAGGTCAAAGCCCTAGCCAGTTTTTCTCAGTGGATAGAGCATTGGCCTGCAGTCTGAAGGGTCCTGGGTTCAATTCAAGTCAAAGGCAGGAAGCTCGGTTGCAGGCTCCTCCCCAATACCAGCCCTGGTGGGGCGTGTGCATGAGACCACCAATCAATGTGTTTCTCTCACATAGATATTTCTCTCTGTCTTACCCTCTCTCTTCCACTCTCCCTAAAAATCAATGGGAAAGTATCTTCGGGTGAAGATTTTTAAAAAAGTAAAATGGAGGTCATGGCTTACAGAGACTGCAGGGTTGCTATCAGGTGTTGCTGTCCACAGTCTCTGCTGTGGACAGATCTTCCTGGTGAACATGACCAGCCTCTCTGGGACAGGTTACTCCTTCATACTGAGAATCCAGTGATGGGAGAAACTGACTCGCCTGCCTTATGAATCCACTGTGAAAACCAAAGTCCTCTTTGTGGAACAGAAAAAACACAGCCCCTCTAAACAATAGATTTCAATGAATTTGATTGAATAAATGAGAAGACTGATGCAAATATTGTGCAGCATGTAATAAAAGAAGAGGAAGTGACATGAATCATGCCTCCGATGGTTTGAAAGCTTTTGTGAAGGAAAACCATGTAGTGAAAGACAGGGCTTCATATTAGGACATCTGTCCTTTCATCACATTTATCTTTCTAGATATCTTCATAGTCCTTAATAAAAAAAAATACTTAAAAAAATACTTAAAAAGAGAAACATCTAGGTCATGTGGTGTTCATGATCTTTCCTTTTTAACTTTTTTTTTTTAACATAATGAAAATTTTTTATTATGAAGATAAGATCTAGGAAGGATAATTATGTGCTATTTTATAGTCTCTTGTAAAAATAATGATAACATTAAAAATTAGTAGAAAATGAAAATCTGAAAAGTTATCTGAAATCTGAAAATGTTAAGCAATTTCTTCTTAGTTTTGATCACTTTTGCTGAATCAGTTTTGTGTATTAGGGTGAAGAGAGTTCTCTTCTACTTTTGTTAACAGTGGAGTATATCCTTCAGAGCTTGGCATAATTTTTAAAAATTGTCTGAAGCTTCATGCTCAGCATGATGTTCCCTCTGGCCTTCAGTTTGCCACTGAAGAATGCCTTTTGAGGGTCAAGCTTGCCCAGGACTACAATGAAATCATCATCTGAATGTGTGATTGTTACATCAGCAGAGCCTTTTGCAGGGCCTTGATATACTTTTCCAGTACCATTTTTTAGGTACAGTCCACTTAGCTCCAACTTTTCCATCTTTAATGATACGCCACTCAAATACAGCATTTACTTTCTTCACCACCTCGTTCCCAACATCCTTAAGACGACGACCTATTTCCTCAAATACCAAAGCACTCTGAAGCTCCCCACCCTCAGAAGGTGTCTTGGCTAAAACATCAGATGTTGGCACAAGATCCCCATATGCATTTGAAATAACGATGTTTCCAGTTTCTTGGGTCTTGGTTTGGAAATGGATTCTATTTCCTTTCTTCCACATCTCAGTTTGTAGAGTTTGTCCTGGATATACTGGTTTTGCAAAATGAGCCTTAATTGCCTTAAATCTTGAGACGTCATTGTCTGCAAACTGCTGCAAAACATGCCTGGCAGAAAATCCAAATGAACATAATCCATGTAATATGGGCTTGTTGAAACCTGCTAAACTAGCAAAGTTAGGATCAATATATAATGGATTCCAGTCACCACTGAGGCAGTACAGAGCAGCCATTAAGTGAGGTGGTGTCTGTAAGTACAGCATCAGGATCTCTATTAGGTAAGGCTACAGCTTCCTTGACTTTATCTGAAGTCTGTTTTCCACCAATGCCTCCAGAGCCAATGATTAAAACATATAAGTTCCTTCCCAGAATAAGAATAGACATCGATAACATGTACTAAACCGGATCCTTTATCTAGGACATCAGCAACAATTGCTTCATTCCTTAATGTTCCTGTTCTGGGAAGTGGTTTATACAACTCCAAGTACTGCTCCCCATGAAGAACCTTTGCTAAGTCAATTGAAAGCCCAGGAATCTCTAATAATTGTCCACCCATTATGGATTTCTGAGCTATAATAACTCCAAAGGTAGGCAAACAGGAGAAGTCAGAATGTCCTTCATAAATAAATTTCAGATCCTTTGGTTCCTTGACCGATGCTCCCACTCCAAGAGCATACATAATAGTTTCCAGTTCCGTGTAAGCAGTAGAAAATGAAGGAAGTGTGTGGCCAACAGCTTCACCAGTTCTTGATGTGGCTTTTGATGATGCCACATGGCTGGTCTGATTTGCTGAAACTCCTCCATCTGAATCTATTTTACTTAGAATTTCGATAATACCGCCAGTTGATTCTTCAATTCTCTGGGGCTTGCTGGCATTTTCAAAGTCACAGATCTTTCTCCAGTTAGCCTTCACTGCCTCAGGAATCATTGGCTGATTCCGCTGTCTTACAATTGCTCCAAGGCTCCACTCCTAGCGCAATTTTCCTGTCCATCCTGCTCCAACCTCAAACAAGCCACCATTTTCCTCGCAACTCTCATGGCACAACCAAAGGACCAGGGGTGCCACGTATTCTGGCTTCAGTACTTCCAGAGCATCTTCAGGCAAGATAGTCTGGGTCAGCCGTGATCCAGCAACAGGGGCAATGGTATTACAATGAATGTTGTTTTTCTGGCCTTCAATTTGCAAGAGTATTTGCAAGGCCCAGAAGACCCAGCTTTGCAGCACTATAATTTGCCTGGCCAAAGTTGCCGTATATTCCTGAAGCCGATGCAGTCATAATTATCCTTCCAAATTTCTGTTTCTTCATGTGATCCCATGCTGCCCGGGTCACTTGGAATGAGCCCGCAAATGAACTTTATGAATTATATCCCAGTCTTCATCACTTATTCTACTAAAGGAACGATCCCTCAGAATTCCAGCATTGTTAACCACAATATCTATCCTTCCAAAAGTATCCAGTGCTGTCTTCACAATCTTCTCTCCTGCTTCCACTGAATCATAGTTGGCCACTGCCTTTCCGCCTTTCCTTCTTATTTCTTCAACAACCTTATCAGCAGCTAAGGAGCCTTTACCAAGTCCCTTGATGTCCACTCCTAAATCATTCACAACAACTGATGCACCTCTTTCTGCAAATGCCAGAGCATAGGCTCGGCCCAGTCCTGCCCGTCGAATCTCAGCGTCGAGGCCATGAGTCCTGCAGGACACACACAGACACTAGCTGAACCCTCTGGAGCACAGACTGCGGGGGACAGGGAAGAGTCCGGCAAAGAGGAGGCGGGCACGAGTGACCTGCCAGTTTCTGGGAAGGAGCCCTTTTTAACTTTTGATAATATTTTATTAGCTAATGTATTTACTGGTCAGGAAACATTTCTCTGAGGTTTAGCTATTTCTTCTATTTTACTTAAATTCTTTTCTATTAAATTCAGGTAGGATGGCATGTAATACTTTATAAAACTACTTCTATCTACATTTCCTCTATACATGTATGTATTTCCATATACCCATCCCCCATCCATCAAGAGGTGTGAGATATGACACTCACTAAGTGTTATCAAACATTACTTCTAAGTGATAGCGGTGGCATTTGTTACATTCTTCTTTGTATGTATCAGTATTGCTTAAATTTTTATGAGAACGCTTCTTGATAAAATTGAAATCATTATATTTTAAAATATTTGGAAATTTCAAACTCACAGAAAGATCACAAAAGGATACCACATTAAACAATTCAAGAGTGTTCTAAAAACAATGTATAATAGGTTAACAACAACAAAAAGCTAAAATGCATACTAACTGTAGTTGTGTCTGGGAACAGGAATTAGATTTGTTAATATCTTTTTATGCTTTCATGAATTTCCAAAATGGGCACACATTATTTACATAATAAAAATATATCACTTAAAAAAAACTGATAGATTTAGCCTTGTGCATATACTCATATACTAGGTTAATACCTTTGCTTGCAAAACTTTACAGCTACTTAACAATGGACTACAGTAATCATATGATACATATATAGCTTAGGGTTGGAATGCTATCAGACATTGTTAAAAATCCTATCATAGCATTATGTTGTCTTTGAGTTTTAATAAGCATTATAGATTGTGTAATAATAATGCCTTTTGTGATTCTAATATTGCCACCTTTTATCTAAAGTGCGAGCCAAAGTATTTTTTAAGAGTTTATTTAAAATTCTGAGCTATTTATATGGAGAGCAATACTATTTTAGAAATTCCAAGGGTCAAAAGACCCATTAAGCCTTTGAAATACTCAAATAAAATATTCAGGAGTAATGATGACTAAAATATCACTCTACTTTAGATTAAAAATCAAAACCAAAATAAAACAAAACAAAAATCAGAATTAGCTTATTATAAGGACAAAAAACACACATTTATATTTATGCAATTTATTCTAGATCAGAGAGGAATATCTATTTTTATCTTTTCAGATATCCTTTTATAGTTGCTAGGTTTTCTGTCAATATTTTCTAGATTTTTGTGTGTATGTTCACAAGGGGTATTGATCTATAGATTTCTTCTTTTGTAATATATTTACCTGGTTTTGGTATCCAGGTAATGCTAGCCTTATAAAATGAACTGGAAAGTGTTCTCTCCTCTTTTATTTTTCTGAAAGAGAACACATTTCTTCCTTAAATGTCTAGTAGAATTCTCCAGTGGAACTAAATAATTTAAGTTTTATTGTTAGAAGGTTGTTTTTTAAAATATATTTTTATTGATTTCAGAGAGGGAAAGAGAAACATCAATGATGAGAGAGAATAAGTGATTGGCTGCCTCCTACATGCTCCCCTAATGGGGGTCGAGCCTGAAACCTAGGCATGTGCCCTGACCGGGAATCGAACTGTGACCTCCTGGTTCATAGGTCAACACTCAACCACTGAGCAACACTGGCTGGGCAGCAAGACTGTTTTTTACAATATGGGTTAGCAGTTATAAACTATTTTATGAATATTTGAGGATTGAGCTAATAAACATATTATGAATATAAAGTCTAGTTTTCTCACTGTTAGATAAAGGCGTTATAAATAAGAGGACTACAACCAAGATTACTCTACCCAGCAAAGCTATCATTCAGAATTGAAGGTCAGATAAAGAGCTTCACAGATAAGAAGCTAAAGGAGTTCATCACCACCAAACCAGTATTATATGAAATGCTGAAAGGTATTCTTTAAGAAGAGGAAGAAGGAGAAGAAAAAGGTAAAGATAAAAATTATGAACAACAAATATGTATCTATCAACAAATGAATCTAAAAATCACGTTAATAAAAAAATCTGATGAACAGAATAATCTGGTGAATACAATAGAATCAGGGGCATAGAAAATGAGTGGACTGACAATCCTCAGGAGGGATAGGGGTGTGAGGGGTGCGGGGGGTGCGGGAAGAGACTGAACAAAAATCATACACCTATGGATGAGAACAGTGGGGGTAGTTAAGGGCAGAGGGTGGGGTGGGAACCGGGTGGAGGGGAACTATGTGTGGGGGGGGGGGAGGAAAGAGGAACAATTGTAATAATCTGAACAAAAAGATTTATTTAAAAAATTAAAAAATAAGGAAAGAGGAAAAGGTAGGATGAATCCTGTGATATTGAACTGGAATTGGAAGTATCAGTTTTGAACTTGTGTGTCAAAAATAGATGCAGACACAAGTAGACAGAGAAATACACATAGTTGTATATAAACATATATTTTATTGTTCTGTCAGCTGTGGGGACCTAGAAGCAATGATACCCAATACTAATGAGCAGATCTTGCACCCAATCTTCATTTCTAAATGCCATTCTTTAATAAGAGCTTTTGTAGATGATTCCCAGGACTAGGATGAACAAATTATAAGAGAAATACCTGTGCCAGAACATCTTGTGTGAGAAGGCAAGGAAGTACTAAACAAAACAAAAACACACACACACACAAAACCCCACACAAGATGAGGTCTAGCCCTAACCAGTTTGGCTCAGTGGAGAGAGTCGGCCTGCGGACTGAAAGGTCCCAGGTTCGATTCCGGTCAAGGGCATGTACCTTGGTTGCGGACACATTCCCAGTGGGGTGTGTGCAGGAGGCAGCGATCAATGTTTCTGGCTCTCTACCCCTCTGCCTTCCTCTCTGTAAAAAATCAATTAAAAAAAAAAAAAAAAGGATGAGGTCTATATTTGTTTTTAACAGCTGTGTAATAAATTACCACAAACTTAGCACCTGAAAAATGCATCCTTTTGTTAACTTAGTTTTGAAAGTCAGAAGTCCAACTTGTCATGCAAGGTTCTCTGGAGTATCTCAAAACTGAAGTCAAGATACCAGCCAACTTGTGTTCCTTTTGAAGGCTCTAGAGAAGGATCCACTTCCATCATGTTCATTCAGGTTGCTGAGGTCAGATCTTGAGGTTGTAGAACTGAGGTCCCCGCTCTGGCTGGCCATGGGGACTCACTCTCTGCAGGCTGCTCTAAGGTCCTTGTCACGTGGCTCCCTCCATCCTCAAAGCCCAAAGAGTTACTCTCCTATTGAATCCCTCTCACACTTTGACACCTCACTGACTTCCTGGTTCTGACCTCTCCACCATATTTAAATGGACTCATATGACTAGGTCAGGCCCACCTGAATTGTCTATCTTAAAGTTAACTGGTTTGGGACTTTAATTACATCTGCCAAATTCTTCACAGTAGTGCCTATATTAGTCTTTGATAGAATAACCAGGGGCTGGGAAATTTGGTGCTCATTCTAAGGAATTCTGCCTACCATGAGTTCATAACAAAAGAACACAAGATATAGCAATCAAGAAATATGAAGTGCTAGAATATTATTAAGTATTTGGACTCCAGATAATTTAAGAGCTGAAGTTCTTTCAAAGTAATCTTCTCAGTGAACTTAAGGTATTTTCAGAGATCACTAATAGTTTATGTATGTATGTATATATGTATATACGTACCCATGTATGTATTACTTGTCATCTATGAGAAAGATAGTGAAGAGCATTTCAAGAGAGAAATGTAGGGTCCAATATGGGTTCCCACAGTCTTCATGTAATTTTATCCCACTCTGCTCCTCTGAGGTGGGTATTAATGCTCCCATTTTCTGAAGAGGAAGGCAAGGCTCAAACTGTTTAGTAAGTAAGTGTTCCAAAGCTACTACTAATTTCCATCAATGAACCTTGTAAATACAAGAGTGCACTGTCAATGTTAAGCAGAGTTCACACACGAAGTAATAAAATGTTTAAGGGGGAGGGGGAAGTACAGGAGCCAAGTTGATGGGCTTCCAAATGACTAAATCAGGGATAATTTCTGCAACTAAATAACTCTTAGAATATATACACATTAGCCTATACAGATATAAAAAATTGAATAAAGAAATGGGGGTGAAAGCGCTCAGAATTCCAATTAATAAATGTAAAAAGGATGATGAAAATACAAAATTACCATTTGACATATATCAGAACAGTTACGTATTTCAGGCAAGAATCATCAGATCCTAAAATTTATGGGCAGAATATGATGAGAAATGGGTATTTACATAGCCTCAAAGCATCTTGCCAGAAGATAATTATTTACAAAGGAGAAAATAGTGTCTAGACAATAAAAACAAACAAAAATACCCTGCAGATAGCACCTTAACCAAGTAATCAGTTACAATCCCCAGCAATGAGACAAGTTCTATCAGTGCCTCTGCCTCCTAGTATAATGTACTGAGAAGGATACATCGTCACTTCTATAGAGTTCTTACCAAAAATGCATAATTGTGAGAAATATTAGGCAAATAGAAACTGAGGGCCATCCTACAAAATAACTTTTCAAAAAGTGCCATGGTCATGAAAGGCAAAGAAATTTCAAGGGACTGTTTGGTTAAAGGAGACTAAGGAGATACTAAAACTAAATATAACAAGTGACCATAGATTGAGTTCTGGGCCGGAAAAAGGATGCTAGTGAAATGGCAAAATCCGATTATAGTTCACTAGAGGCCCAGTGAATGACAATTCGTGCACCCAGGGGCCCCTCAGCCCAGCTGCACCCTCTCGCAGACCAGAAGTCTTCAGGGGATGTCAGGCACTGTTCTGGGCACTAGGAAGAGCAGTAAACAAAAATGAACTTTCCTACTGCCAGATCAAAGAGAAGGTTAGAAAGTTTACCATTTTAGTATTTTTTAAAATATGCTTTTATTGATTTCTAAAGAGGGAGAGGAATAGAGACAGAAACGTCAGAGGTAAACAACTGGCTGCCTCCTGCACACTTGTCTCCAGAAATAGAGCCTACAACCCAGGCATGTGCCTTGACTAGGAACCAAACCAGTGAATTCTTGGTTCCTGGGTTGACACTCAACCACTGAGCAACATCAGCTGGGATACCATCTTATTTTTATTCATGCAGTACTTTAATTGCTTCCTCATTTGCTAACCTTGCTCTTTCTTCAATTCCAATTCTTATCCTGAAATATCTTGTAGCAACTGAAAGTGGAATGAAGAGGAACTATAGGAGCCTAGCTGGTTTGGCTCAATGAGCAGATGTTGGCCTACAGTCTGAAAGGTTCAGGGTTAGATTCTGGTCAAGGGCACATGACTGGGTTACAGGCTGAATCCCCAGTAGGAGGTGTGCAGGAGGCAGCTGACCAATGATTTTCTTATCATTCACTAGAAGCCCCGTGCACGAAATTCATGCACTCGGTGGGTGAGGGTATTTCTCAGCCCGGATTGTGAGAGGGCACAGGCCAGGCCAAGGGACCCCACTAGTGCATGATTGGAACCAGGAAGGGATGTGGGAGGTTGGCTAGCCAGGGAGGGCTCCAGGGCATGTCCTACCTATTTTGCTCAGTCTTGATCCGCCAGACCCCAGCAGCAATCTAACCTACTGGTTGGTCAGTGCACGGCATAGCGAACAGTTGAGCGGCCTCATTATATCATTAGCATATTACACTTTTATTAGTTGAATGGCCAATGGGATGACTGGACACTTAGCAAGCATATTAGGCTTTTATTATATAAGATGTTTCTCCCTCTCCCTCTCTCCTTGAAATCAATAAAAAATATATATATATTAAAAAAAACAAAACAATATGTGATGGGGAGTGGGAGGGAAGAGGAACTATAGGAAGCACATTTATTCTAATTATATTTTTGTACCTATAATAAGGGTATTATAAGAATTAAACAAGATGATGCAGGTAAAATACTCAGTATTTAATTTGACAATAAACACAATCTCTCTTGAGGTAGATACTATTTATTGTTTCTTATTTACAATGAAGGAATCTGGGGCTTGGAGATGAGAAAGAACCTGCTTAATGTTACATGGGTAGAAAGTGGCAGTATAAGACTTTGAACCCTGTCTGACTCCAAAGCCTTAACTTTCAACCACAATACTATAGTTTGCTTTCTGTTCAATAACATTCTTATTAATGTCAACCCATCTTTAAATTCCGCAGTGCACATGAAACAGCGTTCTTTTTCCCTCTCATTGGCATTTATCCATCCTTCCTGGATTTTGAATATCATTAACCACAAAAAAAAATACAAAAGGACAACTTACTCAATTACAAAGCCAACATTCTAGAATACAATACAAAATTAACTTCATCATTGATACTCATATAATTCAAATACAATGAAATGGGAGATACCGAATAATTTAGTTGTAACAAAGCCATCAACATGGCAAAATAAAAACAAAACTAATTAAGAGGCATTGCTTCAGCTCAAATTAGTTATCTCCGATAAACAGGAGGAAGGATCAGTACTTTTAAAAAAAAAAATAGCTATATCTAATGTCCACATCAGAACAATTGAGAATCTCTCAGGCAAAGATTTGTGAAGTATTGCCAGTGTTGAGAACTACAAGTGTATAGTAAGAAGCAATAAAAACCATGTCCTGAAGGCAATTTGAAATCAAGAAATTTAAAAAAAGAAATAAACTTTCCTCTTATCTTGGGAAAGAGTGGAGGGAAATATCTACTCATTTTTCATTGTTCTTTATTCATTTTTTGATAGCCCAAAGTAGAGTTTAACAAACATCAGATGTTAGAAGTTATGCAAACATGCTACCCACATTGAAATTCTCACTACTTCACATTTAGAAAGCTTTTATATTTTTTGGAAAGCACTTTTAAAACAATACCACTTTCTGAAAAATGCCTCACATTTTAAATTTGCATAGATGTTTAAGTCAGCTATCTGTTCAACTAGGAAGAGTCAATAAAGTGTATTAAAGAGCATTTTATTAAGTTATGATAAAACAACATTCATTTCATGTAACACAAATCAACAATTTTGTTGCAAAAAGGACTATTTGAGTCTTTCCCACCTGTTTCTAAAACTTGCAATTTATAAGATTGATATCTTCTAATTTAGAATCTAGACATAACTTTTAAGAATGCACACATAAAATACTTTCTCTATAACTGTACTATATCACTGACAAATCCTATTGGGAGTTTCAGTACTGACTGTAGGCATTTATCATTAAAACAACTCATTTTTCAGGATTGGGAATGAAATAACATTAAGTATGGAAAATAACTTTTATCCTTAAGAATATGTAAGCCACTTAAAGATGTTCTCTCAAATTCAGAAAAAACCATTGCTTCAGTTCCTCTGTCAGGACTCCATGTCAATCTCAACCACTTCATCCTTGCCTTGAAGCCTTGCTTCTGTAAGGTTATCTTCATTTATAGCTTCAATGTCTGCCAGATCAATAGGTGGTAAAGGATTCCTCCAGTACTGGAAGGTGTTATACTGCCAAAATTCTTCATTGATCTTTAGGGGAGAAGAAAAAAAGAAAGTATATCAATGGCTTAGAAAAAATTTTAAAAAATTATTTTCAGGAAACAAGTTTGTGTGTGCATGTGTGTGTGTGTTTTTAAAGGAAACTTGTGTAAGATTTTACAGTCTTTGTATCTTCAACATTTTTAATTCTATTTCAAAGTATTTTATGGATTCAGTCAAAAGTATTTATTAGTTTAAATTTAAAATAATTTTTCAATAGTATCCTTCTGACAATTTCCATTCTCAACCAAAGAAAATGTTTGCTAACAGTCTTAAAATGTTTACCTTCAGCGAGAAAACATTTTTATTGAAAAAAATACAGATATACCTTAAAAATTATTTTTAGTCTTTTCCCCCAGGTTTGGTATTTTAAGGGATTGACTTTACATAGGCTAAAATATTTTGACACCTTCTAAGAAGTATTAGGACATAAACATGCTAAATACCAAGAAAAACTTAAAACTAATCATTTTTATCAAGATACCATTTGGTACAAAGCATGCCTTTTAAATCAATATAGCAAAATTGTTAAATCCTAACTGGCTCCTTAAACATTTAACAGTTTACTCTGAATGATTATAAAATCATTTCAAGTAACTATGAAGTGAAGCTGATGTTCCAATAAAGTACAAAATTGGCACAGAAGTTCAAAAGCATTCTAAAAATATTTTGTGCAAAGGAAGCAGCATTGGAATAATATACAGGCTCCCAAGGTGACCATTATCTATCTCAGAAGGGTATCTATATATCTGTATTTATTCTACTATGCTAGTTCCTTTTCTTTTTTTTGTACTATGTTCTTATGTTATGTTCATATTTGCTAGGGCAGCATTATCCAATAAAAATATAATAGAAGCCACATATATGATTTAAAATTTTTCTAATAACCACAGTAAAAAAGTAAAAAGGAACAGGTGAAATTAATCTTTAAAAAAAATAAGACGAAATGTTTCATTGCTCTTGATGGTAAATCAAAATATGGTAGTTAATGAAAATGAATGCACTAAATTACACACTGCATTTAATTAAATCAAAAGAAACACTCCATTGCACACCATCACTGCACCCTCCAGCTTCCCCCTCCGCGCCCTGGAAGCATCACTGTGGTCTGGCTCTAAACTCCCGATCCCCCTTCAGTTGCTGCGCTGCCTTCTCTAAGGACACCATGAAAAAGTGCTGTGACAGCCATGGTCCTGCGACCCTCCCTCTGCCAGGAAGTCACAGTGCTGGACTAAGAGACCACAGGCAAGGTGAAAGGCAGGAGGGACTCGAACCCTCCTCCTTTTCCTCTTTCGCTTCTGAAAAACTCATTTAGCACGCTCCATTTTGGTGTGTCTAAAAATATACAATTGCATGTATCCAGTATAAATCAATAAATCTGGGGAAATAGGTGAAATGGAGAGGCAATGTTTCAGTTAAAATGGTTCAACTAGTGCCAAGGTAATTGGCAAAACTATGAGTGCAGCTGAACTGGGCTGGTGACACCTGTGTTGTATGAGCAACAGACCAGGCTTTGAGAACAGAATGAATTTCCAAGGACAGGATGCCAATAGGATTCTTTGTCACAATTGTGTTTGGGAGCCCTGGGAGCCCTGGGATGTAGGGGTGGGGGATACACATGAGACCAGGCTTTAGGTGACTTCACCCGCAACCCCTTTACCACGCAAGGGGCCCTGAGCCTCTTCTTTTAAGGGTCCCGGCAGGGAGGCCCAAGGCTGCCCAGACTGGTCAGGGGAAATTAATCTTACTGTTTTATTTGGCCTAATAGACCCAAACTATTATCTTTTTAACATACAGCCAACATTTTAAAAATTAATGAGATAGTTTACTTTTTTTGTCACACAGGTTTTTAAAACCTGGCAGGTAGTTTACACTTCTAGCACTATTCAGGCTAGCCATTTTTCAATGCTCATTAGCTGCATGTGGCTGGTTACTTTACCAAAAAGTACAGGCCTATAAGAAAGTCTCATTTAGAAGTTTATTTAGGGCCTCAGATACTAAGGCTTAGAGAATGAAGAGTCTTTGGAATTTCTTAACACTGGGATAAAAATGCAATAATTCAAAGGATACCAAGAAAAATTTCATTTTAATAAGCAAATAGGGTTAAAAACATTATTTCATTGCCACTACCTACTTATAAACACGGGCAACCCCTATTACCCCACAAAAAAAAAACCAAAACAGTCATCAGTGTAGCCTAGTATCTAAGAGCACAAACTGCCACGAGACAGACCTGGGTTTGCACGACTTACTAACTCTGATCTTGACCTAAGTGTTTCCTAATCAGTAAAACATACGGCTCTCTTGCAAATTAAGGTTTAGCACTATTTACTGCTCAGTATTATATCCCAAGAAGCCTTTGAATTATCAATCAACAGGAAACATATTTGCTTATTTTCTGTTAAAAAATATCTAATAGTAAGGGTCAGCACTAACAGAACAACGAACCTGCATAAAGTGACACTAACATGAGAAAACATAAATATTTAATGAATACCTGGTTTTATTTTAGTTCTCTAGAAAAAACAAATCTAAAACAACTCCGAAAATATTCCAAGGTTCTGCCTAGACTGCATCTCCAATATAGAAAGGACATGTTTGCCAAATCCGGTTTGGCTCAGTGGATAGAGTGTCGGTCTGCGGACTGAAAGGTCCCAGGTTCGATTCTGGTCAAGGCCATGTGCCTTGGTTGCAGGCACATCCTCAGTAAGGGTGTGCAAGAGGCAGCTGGTCGGTGTTTCTCTCTCATTAATGTTTCTAGCTCTCTATTCCTCTCTCTTCCTCTCTGTGGAAAATCAATAAAATATATTTAAAAAAAGAAAAAGAAAAAAGAAAGGACATGTTTGAGAAAATTCTTCCTAAATGAGATCCAAGGGTAAGGGCACACACTTAAGGCTTATACTAAGCACTAAAAGAACCAGGGAGATGTTTACTGCACAAACTGAAAATTATTTTTAACTTCTCCATGTTTCTGTTTTATCCTGTTTTGTCTTTGTAATTGTCTGTGCAACCCTTAGAACAAAGACCCTACATCTTTGGAAACAGGGAAGGTGGAGAAAACAGGTCTCTCTCTTAAATTTGCAGAAAAAAAGCAGCTCAAGGAACAGAACTAACAAAAGGAAAGGACATACTAGTAAGGGTTCCTGGGCTTTTGCCAAAAGAGAACAGGAGACTAATCTTGGAGAAGAAAGAACCCTCTTTTTCCTGCCATGAGCTTATAGTGTCTATAGGATGCAGAGAGGAGCCAGATGTAGTCACTGCTGCAAGGGAAGACACGGGTAAGAGATGCTAAACAGTAGTGAGGGCAAAGACTTAAGCCTTAGTCTAAGCACAAGAACCAAAGAGACACTGACTGCACAAACTGTGCCAGTTTACTAACATACTCTCCTTCTTTGCTTACCTGCCATTTCCTCAGTTCCCTCTTTATCAATCTGTGGCAGACTGTAGTCAGAATATTCTGGTAGGAAAGACAAGGCTATGTATGGGTGGGGTCTGAAAAGAAGAGTTTTCAAATAGGTCTAGATGACTACCGTGTTTTTTTGTTTTGTTTTGTTTTTAGGTTTTGAATATTGTCCTAGACATGATTTAATTGGAAATTCTAATTCTTTATTCTATTTTCAAAATGTAATTTCTATCATTCAGTTTTATGCAAGCTGATTTTGAACCCAAAAGCAACCTGAAGAAAAAAGTCTAAATAAGGCTCAGGCTTCCTAAATTCCAAAAAAACTAGGGGTACAAATATTTACAATTTATAATTTCATTCAGAAATGCTTATCAAGGTTAAAGGTTAATTTCACAATCATAGGAAAAGATCTTTCCCAACTATTAAATTCTCATTATCTTACTAGGTTGTTCACCATGAACAAATCATTCCAAAGGAACCTCAATTATTTTTGAGGGGTGGGGGCAGTGAACTACGTATTTGATAAATTCTGCATAAGGTATTTAAGGCAATGGAGAGATATGAGGTGGATGCTATGGTAGAAGTTGAAGAGTTTGGTGAAGTTTGAGCCCTGTATTTGGTACTTTCACCCTCAAAGCTTTAAGTCAACAGAGAACTGCAGAAAAGCAATTTGAATTCCTAAAGCTAGACCAAAGCTCTCCAATCTATACTAATAAAAGGGTAATATGCTAATTAGACCGGACATCCTTCCTGACAAAGACGGGGACATGGCCAACCTGCAAATTGCCCCAGACCCCTCACCCAGGCCAGCACAGCTCCCTCCCCCCAGGGGACCCCCATCCCAATCAGGCATGTAGTTGGCCTGCAAACTGCCGATGGCTCCTTGCCCAGGCAGGCCCTGTCCCAGCAAGGACCCTATCCTGATTGGGGGTGTGGCCAGCCTGCAAACCCTGAGGCCCCTGCCCTGGCAGCACTGCTCCCCAGCGGGGACCCCACCCACCCCAGCCCGGTCCCCTTCAGGGCAGGCCAGCTAGCCCCCACCCATGCAACACAGCTCACCCAATGGCAAACAGGGAACCTGGGTGGGTGGCAGTGGGGGCAGCTAGGGACGATGGCCCTGACCCAGGCCAGGCCTGGGGACTGTACCCGTGCACAAATTTCATGTGCCGGGCCTCTAGTAAATATATAACACCAGCCACAAATATAACGAACTTTTCTGGTGGCTGTACTAAAAACACTAAAACAGTGGTCGGCAAACTTACTAGTCAACAGAGCGGCAAGCCTGGGCTTGGGAGCCGCAGTTTGCAGGCCACTGGACTAAAAGAAATAGGTGAGATAATTTTTAATCCAGCGTATTCAATCCAGTACCTCCAAGATATTTCAACGTGGAATCAATATAAAATGTTTTGAGACCTCTGAAACGTAGTATTTGACACTTACAGCTCATCTTCTCACGTGGCCGGTGGCTGCCACGCTGAGCAGCACCCAGCTAGTCAAACCAGAGCTGAGTGCGGAGGGAGATGGGGCAGGCTCATTTCCCCAGAACTGGGAACAAGCCAAAGATCTTCACAGAAGATCCTCATATACCGCAGGGCCCACGTTAATTTGCAACAACAACCCTTTCCCATAGACTCAGACTTGGCACAGTGAGTTAAAAATACTTTTCCCCCAAGATACAGTCATCCTTCCCCTCTACCAAGGAAACAGCACCATGCCTAAAGGACATCCAATGGATGGCTTCCACATTGCTCCCCTCTTTAGAAACAAATCATTGCTCAAGCAAAGAAGGCCCCCCACCCCTCTCTCAGACATGTGTCGATAACCTGAAACTCTGTGGTTCAACGCCTCCCACCAAACTCTAGCCAGTGGTCCGCAAACTTATTCGTCAACAGAGCCAAATATCAACGTACGACGACTGAAATGTCTTTGAGAGCCAACGTTTTTAAACTTTACACAGGTAGCTGCCTTGTTATCAACTTAATTAGGGTACTCCTAAGCTACTGGCCTAAAAGCCACACTCAATGGGCCAAAGAGCCGCCGTTTGCCGACCCCTGATCTAGGCTATCAGCAGTCATGCACCTGCTTCCCTCCCACAGCTCGGCGCCCAAGCAGCACCCGAGGGCCCCATCCCCTGGCTTATCCGAGCGCTTTCGGCCTTCGGGGTCCCCCAAAGCCCTGCCCAGAGGAGCTGGGGCCCTCGCTGCTGCCTGCAGGCGCCCGTTCCTGCAGCAGGGACCCCGGCTTTTCGCCTTCTGGGTCGTCTTGTTGATTCGAGTCTAGAGGGGGGCGATCTGCTCCTTATCAGGAGGAAAAGTGCCCAGGGAAATGGTGAACCCACCCAACCTCGGGGCGCCCAGCCCTCCACCGGCCCCTACCTGGCTCGGTGCGGCCCCCCAGTCTCCCCGCGGGGGCTCCGCGCGCCCCGCCCCGTGGTCGCCACCGCCCCTCGGGGGCCGGGCGCCCGGGAGCTCCTCCCCCGGCCGGTGGGGCCGCGGGGGCGGCGGCTGCAGCGGCGGCGGCGGCTCGCTGGTCTCCCAGCCGCGGGCCTCCCGCTCCGCGCCGCCCGGGGCGCCGGTGTCCCCGCCGTCGTGGCGCTTGCGGGGCAAAGCCGAAGGCTCCGTCATCGCCGCCGCGTCCACTTTGCGCTTTCGGGGCAGCTCCGGGGCGCCGAGGGGCGAGGCCGCGGCCGGCGGGACCCAGAGCGGCCGAGGCGGCGGCTCCTCCGGAAACTCGCAGAGCAGGAGCCGCTTCCAGGGCACGTGGAACGTGAGCGGCTCCGCCGCGCGCCGCTTGGCCATGGGCCCGGGAGGCTCGGGCGGAAGCCGCCCGGCGCGGGAGGCCGAACGCCGGTCGCCGCGGAGGGCGTGGGCCACGCGCACGGGGGAGGGCGAGGGCTCCGTCGGGGCCGGCAGGCCGGCGGCGGGAAGGTGGGACGGCAGCCCTGGAGCGGGAGGGGCGGCCGGGCTACCCCTGGGCGGGCGCGCGCTGGCCTCGCCGCCGCGGAGGTGGGGCCGGACGTTGGGGGAGTAACCGCCGCGCCGCGCAGAGATTCGAACCTGCGCACTGACGGGAGCTCGCGCGCACGCGCCGCGAGGGCCGGACCGCTGGTTGGTGGAGGCTCGAGGGACGCGCTCCCAAGCGCCTCCGCGGCCGGAAGTGCGCGCCGCTGGGGAAGGCGGGAAAGCAGCGGCGCGTTTCTTAAAGGCCCGATGGTCTCAGGCTTGTTTTCCTGGGGCCGAGGAGGATGTGCATGTCCCGCGCTCGGTAAAGCTGTTTAGACTTAAAATCTTCAGTATCTACATGTTCATATTTCCCTTCCTTGAGTCATCAGCGAGGCGGATTAAAACAATATTGTACAAACTTTTACTGAGCTGGGGTTAGGGCCCTCGCACTGCGGTAAGTGCTGAGTGGAGGCGGACTGTGCAGGGGCGGGGCTGAGGGGAGAGGCTGAAGCCGACCCGCAAACCCGGAGGAGAATCCAGCGGGTGGTTTTGAAGGGGCTTCTGTGGGAAGGAAAGAAGACATTGCGTTCTTTGAAGATCTTTTCTTTAAAAATGCATCGATGAGCCGAAACCGGTTTGGCTCAGTGGATAGAGCTTCGGTCCCGGGTTCCATTCCGGTCAAGGGCATGTATCTTGGTTGCGGGCACATCCCCAGTAGGGGGTGTGCAAGAGGCAGCTGATAGATGATTCTCTTTCATCGATGTTTCTAACTTTCTCCCTTTCTATAAAAAAATCAATAAAAGATGTTTTTTTAAAAAAATTATTTTTATAGTGGTTTTTAAAATTTATTTTTCAATTACACAATTGACACTCAATATTATATTAGTGTCAAGGAATTTATCTTTTGTTAAGTTTATTCCTTGGCTGTTTATAGTTTTTGCAAATAGTGTCCCCCCTCCCCCTTATGGCTCAGTGGTTGATTTCGACCTGTGAACCATAACATAAGGTTACGGTTTGATTCCTGGTCAGGGTACATACCTGGCTTGTGTGCTCAATCCCCAGCAGGAGGCAGCCAATCTTTTACTGGGGATTGAGTCAAACACCTGGGCATGTGCCCTGACTGGGAATCCAACCGGGACCTCCTGGTTCATAGGTTGACACTCAACCACTGATCCACATAGGGCAAGCTTTTACTATTCTATATGCTCAGAACACCCTGTATCTGGTCCTTTTTAATGCCCCAATACCAAGCCTGGTGCCTTACACAATACAGAATATCAACAAATATTTGTGGAGCAAATAAATAAGTGAAGACTACACTTGAAAGGCTAGAATACTGGTCAGGTCTATCTTCCGTTTTATTCCATCCTTCCCAAGCTGTCTGCGATGGAAGTGCCCTGCTCTTCACCTCCCCACAAAAGGACAGGTTGAATTTTTAATAAGAACTTAGTACAATTTTCAGCAAACAGGTTGCCTATAATTAAAATGTTTAATAATAGTTTATGTTGGTGAAGATATAGATAGATATGTTCTCATTTGTTTTATTGATTTCAGAAAGAGGAAGGGTGAGGGATAGAGATAGAAACATCAATGAGGAGAATCATTGATTGGCTACTTCTTGGGTGCCCCCTACTGGGGATCGAGCCCACAACCTAGGTATATGCCGACTGGGGTAGAACAGTGACCTCCTGGTTCATGGGTCAATGCTCACACAGGCAGGGTGCTCTTCTCGATTTAAAGAGCCTTCTGGAACCATCTGTGGAAGTTTTAAAAAGCACATGCACATTCAATAATTCTACTTCTAGAAATGTATTCTCCAGATATAGTGCTGATAGAGGACACGAAGAGGTATGTACAGGATTATTCATTGTAATACAATGCTGGATAGCAAAAGATTGAAAATAAAAATGTTACTTTTCAGTTAAGTATGATGTCTGTGTATAGATACCTAATAGTAAAATACTATGTTACTAAAGTAAATTTATGTGTATGCATATAGAACAATCAGCAAAACAGAAAAGCAAGGTGCACAGTTATATAGGCCACAAAGATATTAAAAAGGAGAGGATATATATGTATATTAAACACATGTATATGTGTGTTTCTTTTGGTATTGCAGTTGATCCTAGGAGGATGCTGTTATCAATATTCATTAGGGTGGGATACGAGGAATATGGGTGGAGGGCATGAAACACAACTTTGGCTTCAGGTTATCTTGGTGTCACTGGTGTCTTGTGTGGGTGGGGAGTTACTACAGGCCAATAGTTAGAATTTCTGACTTGTTATTTTCTGTTGGGAGACAATTTTCCATGGGTCTTTTGTATTTCAGTTTATCTTGCAAGCAGAGGCTTTGGCTGCCTTTATTACAGACGATCTTTTCAAGGATTGTGTTTAGGCTTGAAAGATAGATGTTATCTCGCTCTGAAGCTAAAGGTGGTTTGTCTACTATCCAGTATACCTTCTTCTAGGGCAAAGAGTTAGGCATATGTACTGTTTGTCTATCATGAAAGATACAGCGTTGTAAATGGATCCTCTTTGATGCATTGGCATGTACTAGTATCACTAGCACTGTGTCAATGTGAGTTGGGCCTCAGGAAACTGGTTCAAAATTAATACTCTGGCTACTGCTGCTGCTATAGATTGTTTTTACTTTCCTGTAGTTGTTTTGTGTCTTCTGCTACTATTCCTGAAATTGGCAGTCTTATGCCTCAATTTAAATGCCACAGACATGGAATCTGGCCTCATCAGCAGCTTGAGCCAGATGGCACAATTTTGAAGCATAGGGAGTTACCTCCCCCAGAGCAAACTGTGACAAGTAGATAAAATTTCCCTCTCTCCTTCTGATGGACTATTTTTCGACAGAGTGCTTCTTTCCAGAGATGTCCCCATGTTGCCAGATGAGTATATTTGTTTGTGAATGCAACAGTTGGCTTGGTAACAACTATATTTTCTTGTTCAGTGCTTCTTTGTAATCTAAAAATCATATATTTTTAAAAATTACCATTACTGCTGGCTCTTTACTAAAAGATAACTCCCCTAAGCTCCTGGGTCTAGATGACTGATTGGCTAACCTAATGGGGTCCAATGGGTTGCTGTCAGTTTAGCGTCGGTTCCAGCTTTGTAAAACCAAAAGCAGATGTGGGCACTTCTCAGTGGCTAGAACTCAGAAGTAGTCCTCATGGTTAATTCTCCCCTTGACAAGCCTCACTACATTTTTACTGACCTTTGCAATGCTGCCAATGGCTTGTTGGGACTGACAGATTAAGACACCACTCTTTGGCCATTAATCTTACATAAATTGCTCAACTTCCCTGATGGTTAAAGGAATGAATGTTAAAATTAGACCCATTTTTTCCTATAACTGAGAAGAAGTAAAAAAAATTAGCAATGTCCAGTATCAGCCAGGGAATGGATGCTATATCTGGTTTCCTTTATGGTCTTTTTTGATTATTTAACGAAACCAAAGATTAGGATTAATTAGGATGAGGCCTAGCAACTTAAAGACCAACTACTCATATTATTGACTTTCTAGAAGTACAGAGAAGATAATCCACGGGTTCAAAAGTATATGTGCTCAACTAATTGAAATTGCCATGCCTGTGGTTACCACTAATTTAAATGGAAACAATCAACCAAATAATGTTTCATAGCAATTGGCAGACTTTAATCAAGAAAAATCAAGTCCATCATACACATTAAAAATATAGGAAATTTCATGCAGAGATGAAGCTTCCAATTCAGCCTTTGTGGCATCTTTTAAAATGAGAATTACATATAAATACAGTACATTTTACAATTCCAAAACTTCATAATTTTATACTGTGATTTATACAGCTTCTCTTTATATTCTACATATCCCACTTTGCTCATTTGCTTTACATACCGTAACCTGCACCACTTCAGTCAGATTATGGAAAATAATAAAACCCAGAATGGCCTATTTCCTCCAGCTTTATGAAAATGAATGAAAATATATGTATAAAGCTAATTTAAGAAAAAAACTAAAAAATGTTTAAGGCTTACACACTTTAGTGGGACTACATATAAGAAATACAAAATTAAATCCTCCAGTGACATTTCCATTACTGATATCATAATCTTCAAGTTTAGAATATATCAACTGAAGAAAAAAAAAAAAGCAATGTAGAACATTAAAAGTATTCATAATATGGGGGAGAAATAAAACGTATTTCAGAATTAACTAAAATGTAGGCTATAATTTATAAATAAGTAACATTATTAAAGAATAAAACCTGATAGCATAAGTGTCAATAAATCCAACCCATGTATCAACTGTTTTTGCCTTGTTGAGAAGAACAAGATCATGTTTTAATGTTTTTATAAAAGTGAATACCAGTCAGTGAATAAAAAGCTTTTCTAAATAATTCAAAAACAGCTCGCATTTCTTTCAGATTTTTAAAATACCTATGTTCCTTTTCATTCTCTTTCTTAAAAATAATAATTTTGGGGAGCAATTTATTTCAAGTTTATTCATATGGTAGAAAATGAGAATTCCCACTAAAGAACATTGGCCAAAAAAAGAGAAATAATTAAAAACAAAACAAAACAACAACCAAAAAACCCTCAATAGGTATAGGCTTCCATAAATCGACAAGTCAAATTAGCTTCATGTATCCCTTTATTGCATAAAGGGCACAAGAACTCCCTTACTAGAAGCAGAAAAACTCCTTTTGGTAAGATGTCAAATCATGTAGTGATCCTCCCAACCCAAATGACCATATAAGGGTCCAAACTTACAAGTAAATTTTCATAATAAAACATGACATTTATGCTTCTAGCACATTACTGGGATTAAGTCTTAATCCAAATTGCCACAGAGGTTGCTTAATGCCATCATAATTACCTGTAAAAATACTCAAACATACTTTTCTCCAAGAAAAGGTTAAAACATTATATTTGTCATCTCTACTTTCCAAGCTACAGGAAAACAGAATGATTAACATAAAATACAAAGGGAAATTCCCTCCAATGAAGATCTGCTAGAGGTAGAAATTTAAAACAGCATAGACTGTTTTAGCCCTAGCTATCAGGGAACAAAACTGGTGTTAATCTGAAATTATATTAATGGCTCTGCTTACAATATTGAAGACACAGAACATGGACAGTAATTTATCCCTGAATTTCATGTTCAAAATTTCTCCATGTTAACACTATCATGACAGTTTTTACTAGTATATAGTTGTTTTAATGAAAAAAAAGTGCTTGCTTTTGTATCCCAGTAATCTAAAGAAAAAGACATATTGTAAACATCTCATTGACAAACTGTATTCATTTATAGTTTGAAATAATTTAAAATGAACAGATTTTATTCTTATTTCCCCAGTTTCCTAATAGTACCTTTAATAAAGGCTTTTTTTTTTAAACTCAGATTAAGATTTTCAAACATTTCAGAGTGTTCCATGATGAGTATGCTTTCAGAAAGTATTCATTTTAGTGAGGCCAAAAGACTTACTAATTTCTTGGTTATTTGAATGCATTTTTATTGGCCTGTGATACTCTTAAGTTTAGTAATTCATAAAATGAAAGGTTTGATGCTTCCCTAAGTTCAACTGAGCTAGGAAAAACAAAACAAAACAACAAAAGGATTTGAATAAAAGAATAATAAAAGACACACATTTTATGTATAGATTGCTTAGGTCCAAGTGAATAAAAGTCTCAATTCCAGATGTTGAATAAGAGGATCCTTAGACGCTTCTAAAAATAACATGTGCAATACATACAAAACAAAAAAGGAAGTTATTACTTCAATACTATTAGCATGGCAGCTTGGAACGGACAGCTTCATGAAAACACTAGAGATAAAGTTTTTTCTATTGAAAGACAATTCTGGGTTTCAAGGAAAAAGTAAACTCGAAGATACTTCCTCCGTTTTTACTTGTGTAGTACAAATATTCATGGCATAGTATATTTCTGAAAAAGCGATAGACATATTAAGAAAATAGACACTATTTCTAAACTTTGTTAGGAATAAGAAGGCACCACTGATTTGAGGTTGTGTCCTGTCATTTGATAGTTGATTTTGAGTTGTTTATTTTAGGATTTGCTCTTATTAAACTTTTTTCCTGGTGATTTCACTTGAGACCATTATTGTGGTTTACGGACCACAAACAAGACACATTCATAGTAGTATTTCATCATGGAGAGGTCATTCACAGTGTATGTTGACAAGACAGATTCTTTTTCCACCTGCAATACAAACAATCATAATGGTGATGACTACCATGATGATAACACTAAAAATATTAAACACTTTTAAGTGGCAGTTGCTATTTTACATATATTCCAGATATCAATTCAATTATTACATACAAGTACCACCATAAGATTGGTACTATTAGCAATTCTACTTTATAAAGAGCAGGTTATTCAAGATCACGCTACTAAATAGTGGAACTGGAGTTCACACTCAAGAGTCTCACTCCAGAGCTACTAAGCTACTATAATATACTAGAGGCCTGGTGCAGGAATTTGTGCACTGGTGGGATCCTTCAGCCTGGCTGGTGATCGGGGATGATCGGGGCCAATAGGGTCTCTCTTGCCCAGTCCTGATCAGGGCTGACTGGGGCCAGCAAGCTGTGGGAAGTTGGCTGTGGGAGTGCACTGATCACCAGGGGGTAGCTCCTGTGTTGAGCGTCTGCCCCCTGATGGTCAGTGCATGTTATAGTGACCAGTCAACTGGTTGTTTGGTCACTTTATATATATATATATATATATATATATATATATATATATATATATATATATATATATATATGCCTAAGTGACCAATATATATATTTCTCTTTAAGAACTAATGTGTTATTTTTAAAGGAATGGAATGTTCCTAAATAAACATAGAGCCAAAATATAACAGTCGAAGTATCATAAAACTGTATGACAGGGGTGGGGAATCTTTTTTCTGCTAAGAATCATTTAGACATTAATAACATTATTCACAGTCTGTACAAAATTATTAAGTTAAAAGTTAGCTGTTATATTTGGTGAAACATTTAATTAACTCATCCCTAATGCCTTGGCAGGGCCAGACCAAATAATTTCAAAGGCCTTATATGGCCCATGGGCCGGACATTCCCCACCCTTGCTGTATAATAATGCACACAAAAAGGAAAGATTGAAAGACTGAACAGTACACAAGCATATATAGTAAACAATATCCCTCTTGCTCCTGCCTTCCTATCCCCACTTGCTTCCTCAGTGCCTAGTCTACTTGGTAACTATCAGTCTACAAAGGCTAATATTATGATAATGGCCAGCTACCATTTATTGAAAGGAGATTATACCAGGAATATAGTTTTTCTTTAAATACACATTATCTCAGCTGAAACCGGTTTGGCTCAGCGGTAGAGCGTCGGTCTGCGGACTGAAAGATCCCAGGTTCGATTCCGGCCAAGGGCATGTACATTGGTTACGGGCACATCCCCGGTAGGGGGTGTGCAAGAGGCAGCTGGTTGATGTTTCTCTCATAGACGTTTCTAGCTCTCTCTCTCCCTTCCTCTCTGTAGAAAATCAATATAATATATTAAATACACATTATCTCAAATCCTCATAATTCTAAAAACTATCACTTTATGAATGAGAAGACAGAAGTTAAGAGGGAAAGCCAGTAAATGCCATAGTATCACCATTTCGTTGGTGTGCTTTGGAAGTTAAGCTTTGGCAATGCTTCATTCCATCCTTACCTCTAGCTGGAATCCATACTGCAGAACAACATTTTTTAGATCCTCATAGCTCAATTCTATGGAAAGTTCATTTGCCAAATTTTCAAAGTGGTAGAGGAGAGGACCTATGGTTTAAAGATATTATGAATGAATTATTTAATATAAACATGTACTAGCAGCTGTATTAGGCTGAACTCCAAGTTGAATAAGATAATTTATAAAAAGGAGAATTAAAGAATATTTACATTTGCCAAAGACATGTTTCCAGACCCCTGAAACTACAATCCCGAAAACTGACATTTGAGTGCTGGGCCTATATTTACCAGAGTAGTTGCCCTTAGTATACCAGCCTTGTATTGTGATTTTCCACATCATGGACCTTACACCTGTAACAAGTTACTGAAGGATTTGCTGGATTAGAGATTAAGTCCCCAAATTCCAAAGGTATACTGCAATTATAATTACATAAATAAATACAAATAATAGCTACAAATTGGTTATAACATGAAAGCAAAAGGGATCCTTAAGCCAGCAGGTGGTTGGGGGTAGAGGGTAGTGAAGAGAGTTGGAGGCAAGGCTGTCTGGAATGAAGAGATGACACTAAGCTGTTTAAAAAAAAAAAAAAAAAAAAAAAATGCAGAGCTCATATCCTAGCTCTAACACTTAATAATTAGTTTCTATTGACAAGTCACTACTTCTGCCCCATTTATAACATTACTTTAATGTGAAATAATATGTAAAATACATAGCATAAAAAGGCAGTAAGTAAAAGATAGCTATTACAAACTTCTTAAAACCTTCTACCCTCTCATTTTACATATATAAGAAACTACACATAAATAAAAAGCTATCATCTAATTTTCTAATCTTTTAATCTGTAATTTCCCCCAATCCATTGGTTTTATCCAGTCAACACTTATCATTCTACAGTTATACTAAAGGACTAATTTTGACAATCTTCTCCTTACCTTTCATTGGGTTATTTATAAATCTGTGACAAACTCATAACACCCATCCCTTTTTCACTCCTCACACAATGTGCTTAATCACAGAATATAAACATAACAAACAGGACAAAGTTTCTGCTCCCAAAAGGCTCACCACTCTGTGGAACATACTTAGGGTTAAAAAGTTTTTATTTTTCTCCCCTCTTTTTTATCCTATATAAAACACTAGGAAAAAAATGACTAAATATTATTTACTTATTAGTGCTCTTTTTAAAATAAAATGTTTCCCAATTAAATTACTCCATCAAGCTTAAATTCCTGTTAGTTTTATTAGTACTACTAAAAATGTCAGTAGTAGCCATTTACTGAGTATTGTTGTATCCTAGGCCAGTGGTTGGCAAACTCACTAGTCAACAGCCAAATATCAACAGTACAACGATTGAAATTTCTTTTGAGAGCCACATTTTTTAAACTTTTTCTAACGCCACTTCTTCAAAATAGACTTGCCCAGGCTGAGGTAGTGTGTGGAAGAGCCACACTCAAGGGGCCAAAGAACCACAGGTGGCCTGCGGTTTGCTGACTCCTGCTCTAACAGACTTCTCTAAGTATAAGCAATGTAACAAAGGTATGCAATAGTGAATGCAATTATTTAAGATGCTGGATGGCAAATATTTTAGGTTCTGTGGGCACCTACAGTCTCAATCACATATCATTACTTTTACCTCCACCCCTCCCACAAACCTTCAAAAATGTGAAAAATAATCTTGCTGCTAGACCATACAAAAATGTGCTGCAGGCCAGATTTGGCTGTAGGCCGTAGTTTGTCAATCCCTATTCAAATGTATGAAAAGTTAAGATTTTTCCATGTTATTAAATTGTTTTTCTTGAAGAATGTTTTATTACTACACTGAGTGGCCAGATTATTATGATCTCTGGATGCATAATAATCTGGCCACTCAAGTGTATATATACCTTACAGATTAGAGGCCCGGTGCATGAATTTGTGCATGGGTGGGGTCCAGCCAGCCTGCCAGAGGGAGGGGACATGGGCGGTTGGCTGGCCTGCCTGCTGATCGAATTCCTGGTGGAGGGGACAATTTGCATATTAGCCTTTTATTATATAGGGTATACACTGAGTGGACAGATTATTATACATTCAGAGATCATAAAATAATCTGACCACTCAGTGTATATTCCTACTAACAATATATATATATATATATATATATATATATATATATATATATATATATATATATATACACACACACACACACACACACACACACACACATTCTATCTCTGTATTTTATCTAAACTTTAATTAAAAAACCTACCCAATAAATTGGTGGAAAATGGAATCTCATTTATATTACTGTGACCAGCAATGAAAACGAAACACTTTTCCCCCTTTATATAGGCCATTTATGTTTACTTTTTTATAACATGGACATTCATGTTGTCTATTTCACTTCTGGGTATTTTCTCTTAAAGACTTTTTCCTCCCTTTTCAATTAAAAAGAAAAAATAGATTTCATTGTAAAAAAAAAAAATACAAAAATATATAAAGGAACTTTTATTTCCTGTAAAGGCAAGGTTAGGTTATTTAGACCACCGCTCCCACTGAAAACAATTAAAATTGGTGTATGAAATTTAAAATCTTAAAAATATAGTATACTTAGCAAGTTAGTAAGAAATTAGCAGGAACCCAGAGAATTAACTAGAGGTAAACCTAAATGCCATTTTTACCCTGACAGTTAAAAGAAAAAAAGAAGTGATTAAAATATATGGAAGCTAAGGTAAGAGATTTAGAAGTATTTGTGGTGCATCCAATTTGGACATAGTGATTGGAGCATAAGACATTTGATTGCATTTTTCAAAGGGAAAGAAAAAGAATGAGGCAGAGTAGTTATATGAAGAAATTGTAACTTAACTTATTTTGATGCTAATCTTGTCTCACATGGCAAGAGAAGAGATCCTTTTAAGCTGAGAATTTTTCAGAACTGATGAAAGAAGTCCATTTATAGTTTCAAATAACCCAACAAATTGTATACGGGTGAGAGAACCCATCAACAAATCCTGAAGACTAAGGACTCAATGTATATATGACTTTTAAGTAGGATATTAACCTCTTAACACAAAAAAGAAAATCATATTTACCTTGATAATACCATTATTCTCCCTTTATTTTAAATAAAAATCTTATAATCTGGATGGAAGGGATCACATCATACTCATTACTTTTTTAAAAATGTGTATTTTTAAGGGAGAGGGATAGAGAGAGAAAAACCATCAACGATGAGAGAGCTCATTAATAAGGAGAGAATCAACCACTGAGCCAAGCCAGCAGAGCCATATTCATCATTTGATTTTTAGTACTATGAATCAGAAGGCAATATATTTTTTGAATATGTGAAATTGTATTTCTATTCTTTTTTAACTTCATGATATTCATAGTAATTACCATTCTTACTCTTTTCCCAGTATGTATATGCACTGGGAGGAAGTTTCCATGAGAGAGGCAAATGCTTTCCCTAAAATGTTTCAAATAGAAAGAACAGGACTGTTGTCTCTATCATAAAGTGGAAGGTGGGAAAGATGAGGTAATGATTACTCTCATCAGTGGGTAATCAATGATTATCAGTTAATAATCAATGCTCTGAAATTATGAATGCTGTGAGACTGACCTAGTGTAAATATACAACTTAAGGTTCCAACTACTTATGGAGGAGGAATTAGCTAGGACTAAAGGAACTGCACCATCAAGTAGGGTGCAATCTAAAGGGAAATGCAGAGGTTTTAAAATGAATGCAGCATAATTATAACTTTTCTGAATATTTGGTACCATGAAGTTACCAAATATAGGATAGTTATAGTTACTAGATTAATGTGTAAAATCCTAATAAATACTGAGGAACTTACCTAGATTTATCCAAATTCCACCTGGCTTGAGTATTTTCCATATTGTGTCAATATAATCAATTACATTGTGAGCTGTGTCTATGAAGAAACAGGTAGCAATACAGTCCCAGGCATCTATTCAAGGAAAATCAAATTACTACATTTGTAATGTTATTTATTTAGTTAGTTAGTTATTTCAACTTTTAATTAAGTCCATAAATGTACCAAGTACCTCTTACAGAATATTAATATTTCATTTAACTGCAGGTATATAGAATCTAAACTCTTCCAATCAACTACTATACTCAGGTAACTAAATAATCATTTATGAGATACTTTGCAATTCATAAGTTTTTATTAATAATTTGATAAAGTAATCAATTTGGAAATCATTTTTGTTACATGTATCACTATACATCTTTACCAAATGATATGTTTTGTCCATAATTTAACTGCTTTCATTTAAAATCATTGAAGACAAAATAATTTGAATTCTAAATTGATTTCTTTCAACCAATGTTAACTACCAATTCTGAAAGGTTTCAGAAAGCCTGCACGTATACGCTTACTTTTTAAGTTCTGCTCTTAGAAAGACCTTCCCTGACAACTATTATATATAAAACAGCGGGCCCTCCCCAAGCCCTCGTGATCCTCTTTCCTGCTGTAGTTTCCTTCCTCACAATATTAATTTGGTATTGCCTCTCTCTCCCTCTAAGAATATATAAGGTCCCATGTACAGGGTCTTTGTTTTTGCTCACTGCTCTCTTTCCAGTGCCTAGATCATACCTGCCACTTAGCAAGTCCAACAGATATTTGTTAAATGAATGATTTGCTGACCCCTCAGCTTTTCATTCTTCTTTCTTTCACTGCCAACTCCCCTCCTTACCTATCCCTTTCTTTAATGCCTAGCACAAATTTCTTCCAAACTCCATAGCCTGATTGTAAAGGTCCTCCACAATTTGGACCAACCTTCTTCTCTACCCATATTCTCATTAAATCTCCAAATAGACCTCCCCTTTCCTCCCAGTCAGGCTGTTCTACCATCCTCAATTACCTGTTCGTTCCTATCTATGTAATTCTGCCTCCTGGAATGCCATTCCTCCTTATCCTTCAAGTCACAGCCTCTCTACAGAGAACTCCCTTCTCACACTAACCTACTTCCATTACTCATCTGAACTTTGTTCACGTGTTGGCTTCTATTAATAGATCCAATAGATTACAAATTTCTTAATTGTGGGATCTTATACTTTTTTATATTTCCCATCATTGCCTTATATGTGCATGAACTTTAAATTATTCTAAATTGTCATTGAAGTCTACTTTATATCTTGCCATCAAAATGGATGACCAGAACTTTAGCTTAGTATAAAATTAGATCATTAAATTAAGAATAAAGGATAAGACCTTTAAAATGCTTGCATTAAACTTACTGCATTCTGAGTATATCTCCTGAAAATCTCCTGCTGTCATAGAAAAATTAGAACCAGGAGGAAGACTATGGGGGTCAACATCAGGGAAAAAGATGGGTCGAATCTGATCAGCTGACCTCCGGTTATTGCTAAACTGATGGATCCAGGGATAAAGCTTATATTTGTTAATTTCAGAACATCTGCAAAATATGAGCATGAAATTCAGTGTTAACTATATACAAACCAAGAAAATCTACTTTAAACACTAAAAATATATTGTTTTATTAACAGCTTACTTAATTACTACTTAAAAAGCATTACTACTATACCCCATCCAAGTATCTGGAAATGCACATATACATGCAGATGAGTAACCAATCATGAATGAAAAGACAGAAAAAAATTAAATTCTGAGATATGAATGTGTTGTTCATTCCAAGTTTTACAAATATATTTCCAAACTTCAAAATCAAGTAAAAACCAGTTCAAGTATTTTTTTTTTTTGACGTTACAGGTTTTGTTTGATACCTATTTTAATTATTTTGTACAACCTTCTTCTTTTTATCCTCTTATTGTCCCCTAACTCATACTGCCACCAAAATAACATATTTATATAGGCAGCTATTTTATTTTTTCCTAAAACACATCTTCTGGCTTTAAAAATAACAACTCTTTTCCACTGCTTACTAAGAGGCCACAGCAGTTCTGAAAGGTCTTTCCAACTCAGTCATGTGAGCTTACTTGGCCATTTAATAAGAATCTTAAGGACAAAAGATATGATCACTATACTGCACTCTTACTACACTGAAGAAACAAAAGGATGAAGAAGTTGAAGGAACAATAAGGAAAATATCCCTTCCTGGATCATACTTAGTCCTGAAATTCACACAGAAATAATTTCATTTTCATGGAATGCCAACTCACTTTCTAAAGTCACTAATCCATCCTGATCAAACGTCTATTAACTAGACAACTGATTAAAGTGACAATTGTATAACCAATTTAATATAAGAAATATTTATAGTATATATCATAATTAAACACTACGTACTTATTTTCAAATTCAGAATTGTTCAAAAATAGGAAAGTCAATCTGATTCTGAGATATTACTATTTCTAACAAAAAGTAAATTAAATACCTGTTGAGTATAAAGTTGGAAGAAAAGAGCATAAAAAAACTCCATTCATTTCCTTGACAAGCATAACCTAGCATAGCTATTTCCCAGGCCAGTCTTCCTAGTCCAGCACCAGGTACCAGAATATTTACTTTAGAAGGATCCCTGAAATGAAATAAGGCAATTATGTCCAACCCCTTAATGAAAAGAAAAGAAAAAAAAGACCAAAAAAAGAGACAAAGATCCACATTAACAACTAAAACCTTTGATATTTAATAATAATAAGCTCACTCAAGACTCTGACTACTTGAAATTGTGAGTTACTTCTAAATATCAATGAAAAATAAAGATGTAAGAGTTATCTTATGCTAGATATCAGATGAAGGTTTTATCCCCAAAGTATTATTTTTCAGAAAAAATGCCATCACCTTATATCTGAATGAAGACACCCATGTCCCTAGTAGCTGTCACCTGAACAACTGTACGTATGGATCCCAATACATACAAAGACGTTGAACAAAATTATTTTACTATGAGACAGTAAACAAAACAATTTCATTTCAAAATTCTATGTCTAATCAATGGTTTATGTAATTAAATAGATTAAATATAACTTTTAATATGTCAGATATATCTTTATTTTTTATTATTAATACGTTTTTTGCCCATTCTCAATTGAGGATATTTTTTCCATTAATTTTTAGAGTGGGAGGGAGAATGAAAGAGAAACACACTGATTGGCTGTCTCCCACACGCATCCCAGGCCAGGAACGGTACCTATAGCCCAGGTATGTGCCTTAGACATACCTGGGCTGTAGGTACACACTGATTGACTGTCTCCCACACGCATCCCAGGCCAGGAACGGTACCAACAGCACAGGTATGTGCCTTTGACCAGGAATTGAACCCTGGGTGCTTTGCTGTACAGGACAACACTCTAACCACAGAACCACACTGGCCAGGGCTGTCAGGTATATCTTTAAAAGGGGGTGGGGGTGATAGTCTTATGGTGAAAATGGGAAGCTACCTTCTAATTGAGCATATATAATATCACACCAAACCAGAAGAGCATAACCACACTGTTCTCCACTTATTTGCATCACTCTACCACCAATTTTCTTTGTTAAAAAGTCCACCATTCCACTTTTATACTGCTAAAAATTTTTCTTTGCAAAACAAGAACCTTTTTCAGGATGCCTGGCAAGTAAATGTAACTTTAAGGAAACTAAAATGGTATTCTTACCAACAACGGAAGAAAAATGTGTATAATCAGCTATCATGGCAGTTAAAAGTGAACTTCTCTTTTGTCTGTGTTCCCCAAACTTAATATATACTAATAAATCAAATCCAATTCCTAAATCTAGCCCCATGTATTTCTTTTCATCTTTAAACTACATGGTCCTTAAGTTTGATGTGGTCCAAACAGTAGCAGGGCTACTAGTATGCCCATATGATAACTTTGCATTTCCCACTTTTAAATAAAAAACAACTTTTGAAAATTCAGTCTATAAATACAATAGCATGGGAATTTGCCTAGGGGCATTCAGTCTTAAATATTTACACATGGAACATGTATTTGTATAAAAACCTTAACAAAGTTTAATTTGTTTCACTGTTGGGTTTTACATATACGATATGCCATAAAACAAAATCTGTTAAAAATGACTTTTGACAAGCTTATTATGATCAGTAAGACATCATTTAATCCTTGATATGGACAAACTAATTCCAAGGTTTTACGTAACAAGTTTCACTAAAATAAAATAGAATGCTTTCTTCTCATTCTAGATTATACATGTGTGCATGTGCGTGAACACTTAAATTTGTTTTTGTTTTATGTTTTTTAAAAACTGACTTCAGAGAGAGGGAGAGGGAAAGATAGAAACATCAATAATGAGAAGCACTGATCGGTTGCCTCCTGCAAGCTCCCTACTGGGGATCAAGCCTCCAACTCGGGCATATGCCCTGACTGGCAATAGAACTATGACCTCCTGGTTCATGGGTCAACACCGAACCACTGAGCAACACTGGCCAGGCACCATTTAAGTTTTTAATGAGGGCATATCTTCAGTCCTACTTATATCGGTTTCCTAACAAAAATATACAGAATTTGAATGTGAAAAGCTCCTAGATGTAGAACTCTGTGCTACCCTTTATATAAAGAACCTGCCACCATGGAACCCCACCCAGGCCTCTCCTCCCATTTCCCACTCCCTGCCACCCACACAAACACTTACTCTCCAGACTTACTTTCTTTTCAGTTCCCATCTACCCAATCAAAGCATCCCAAGTGCCTGCTTTCAGCTTAGAGTTAAAAAAATAATAATAATGAAAGTAAAAGGATCTGGAAGTAAACTAAGAACTTAAATCTTTATAAAAATAATCACTAATAATTTCTGAATGGCTAATAATCTGCATAAAACATCACCATGCAGAACACAGATGAATCTCAATGGCATTCTGAGTGAAAAAGCCAGTTTCAAACGGTGACAAATATATTGTATGACTCCATTTAATATGACATTCTCAAGAATACAAACTGTAGTGACTAATAAGCAGTTACCACATATTAAAGGTGTGGAGAGAATATCACTATAAAGAGAAACATGAGGTTTTTTTTAATTGATTTTTTTTTTTTTTTTGAGAGAGAGGAAGGGAGAAAGATTAAACATAGATGAGAAAAACATCATTGACCAGCTGCCTCCTGCATACTCTCTACTGGGATTTGAGCCCACAATTCTCTCAGTGGTTGGGTGTCCTCCCATACACCAAAAGGTTGCTAGTTCGATTCCTGGTCAGGGCACATGTCCAGGTTTCAGGTTCATCCCCAGAAGGGAGTGTGCAGGAGGCAGCTAATCAATGTTTCATTCTCACATCAATGTTTCTCTTTCCCTCTCGTCCTTTCCCTCTAAAAATCAATTGAAATATCTTAGGGTAAAAAATGCAGAAATTAGAAACCATGCTAACCTTAAGGGAAGTTTTTGTTAATAATGATACCAACAAATATTTTAACTGAAGGAAAGTTAACTTATGGCTATTATGCAATCTGTCCTAACTAATCAGAGCCATAGAACTCTCTACCCCCACCTTGTGGCAGAAAATTGCTGTATAAAACTGCTATTAAAAGGCTGTCAGCAAGCTATGGAATGCAGAATATAGCAAAGCCCTATCTTAAGCCTTAACAGAGATTATACATAGATCTACCAATTACTTGTATTATAACCAAAAAGAGCTTATTTCCATGGGCATATAAAAAGGATACACATTAAAACAAACCATTGAAAAATGGTTAAGAATCAAGCAATGAGTGGGAGAGATGTTCTTAATCTATACTGTTTTTCATTGGGTGTTTATAAAAGGGCTATTAACAGCATAATGAAACATCCTTCCAATTATAATGCATATGAAACTAAGGCACTCTAAAAATCAGTTTTTGCTACGGATTCTTATGATGGGGAAAATGTTCAAAGACATTTCTATGAAGGTATTTCTGTGGAGAGTAAAAGAAATATAAATCTAAGTATAGACCTTTATGGTGAGCTGACTTGAAACAATATATTTAGTATAAATGTAACACCTCTGGATAATCCTATATAATAAAAAGCTAATATGCAAACTGTCCCCCTCATCTGGGAGTTTAACCAGGGGGTGGGCCAGCCAGCCAACTGCCAACGGACCCTCCCTCAGCAGGCCCCGCCTCTGATCACCTCCCTCTCATCAGGGTGGGCCAGTCAGACCCCACCCATGCAAGAATTCCTGGGCCTCTAGTAGTGGGATAACAGTGTATTCCAGACAAGCAAGAATGGAGAAAGGTAGATTTGTAAGGACAGAACAGAGCCCTGTGTGCCTGAAGCCGTGGATCACGTATGCACCACCCTTTGTGCTTCAACTATTGTACCAGGAGTAAATGTTCTTGCAAGAGAGTTAATTCATTCATGGTCCAACATAGTAAAAACCACTAATCACATGTAGCTGACTAATGAACACTTAAAATGTGCTCAAAGTATAAAATAATGCCAGATTTCACATTTAGTTTTAAAAAGGAATGTAAACTATCTTAATAATCTTGTATACTCATAACTTGAAATAGTTTTATATAGATTTACTGGGTTATGAAACATATTAATTTCACCTATTTTTATTTACTTTTATATATAGCTACTAGAAATCTTAAAATAACACATGTGGCTTGCATTATATTTCTATTGGCCAGTTGGTCCATATAGCAAAATCATAAAAACCCAATTCTGAGCAAAAAACAATTGTGAAATGGCATCATAAACCACTATATGAACTTTTAAAACACACAGAATGCAACGTTTGTATTGGTTAGGACAGTGGTTGGCAAATCGCTGCTCGCTGCTGTTGACTAATGTTTGTCGACCACTGGTTTAGGGCAATAATTTTCAACTGGTAAGCTGCAAAAATTTTTAAAACATACAAAACTTGACTATTTAGGCAGGGACACGGACCTCTTTTTTCTTAGATTGTCAAATATAAAAATGACAACAGCCAACACAACAGCTGTCTGGTGTGAATGAATCAAAACAGTATCTTTTTTGTCAGATCAGCAAAAAATATGTATTTTGGTGTGCTGCACAATTTTAGTAATTGTATGTGTGTCATGAGATGAGAAAGTTTGAAAAATCACTGGTTAGAGGTATATGAGCATATAGTTAATATTAGAAGGTATGATCAGAGTAACAAATTAATGTTATCTCTGGAGAGAAGGTGCTCTATATATGATTTGAGGGCAGTTTCAACTGCATACGTAATGTTTAAAAAAATATAAAATATTTTGAAGTTAATTTATCAAAATGTCAAGGTTTAACAGAGCTAGCTAGGTGTTGAAATATTTTTTATTCAAAGGAGAAAATGAGTTAGAAACCAGGTTAATATCTAGACCCTTCAAAAATATGGTCCCAACTTACCTCTTACTCCCAACAAAAAATTCCACCTATCAACCAAACAACTTCTCAACAATTGCATAAGACACTTTCTCACCTTGATATTTAGAGACCTACACACCCATAAGAACTCAGTTTAAATTATCACCTTTATCTATGAAGTCTTTTCTAAATATTCCAGGCAAAGCTTGAACTCATTTCTTGATGCTTTCAGTACTTCATTCATACCTCTGTTATAATATTTCAAGTTCTTCATTT